GCTCCGTCACCCTCAGAGGGAAGAAGTTCTTCCTCATGTTCAGACGGAACTTCCTGTGCCTCAGTTTGTGCCTGTTGCCCCTTGTCCTGTCACTGGGCACCACTGAAAAGAGTCTGGCCCCGTCCTCCTGACACCCACCCTTGAGATAGTTCTAGGCATTTATAAGGTCTCCTCTCAGCCTTCTCTACTTCAGGCTGAAGAAGCCCAGCTCCCTCAGCATTTCCTCATAGGAGAGATGCTCCGGTCCCCTCCCCATCCTCGTAGCCCTCAGCTGGACTCTCTCCAGTAGTTCCTCATCTTTCTTAAGGTGGGGAGCCCAGAACTGGACACAGTACTCCAGATGGGGCCTCACTAGGCAGAGCAGAGGGGGAGGAGAACCTCCCTCAACCTGCTGGCCACACTCTTCTTAATGCACCCCAGGATCCCATTGGCCTTCTTGGCAACCAGGGCACACAATTGTTGGAATACTTGCCTATAGTATTTTAATACTAATATTAAAATTCATATTATAGGCCCGTGAACAACCAGAGAACTCCCAAATTATAATAGAAAAGCTTTTTGTCATGCATATGATCATTGGGAGGAGATCTGTCACGTAGTCCAAGCTCCTGCCCAAAGCAGGGCTGATTTCAAAGTCAAATAAGGTTGCTCCAGTCCTCATGCAGGGCCTAATGACCAAAGCAATAGCAGTAGAAAGGAGACGTGTCTCTCTCTGCAGCAGCTTCTGGGCCTGCTGCACAATGCTGTTCCATTTACATTTGTCTTCAAATATCAAAGAAGGTGAATCATTAATCTCACAAATACCGCCATTCAATATGCACGCATTTCACTCACGTGCACCTAAAATTGATTACTACATTTTTTAATTGCCCAGACCAAAACCAAGTTCAGTCTGCTGAAAGCCCCATGTATTTTAAGTTTTCTTGTTTAGTAAGTTCATGTTAATACAAGTACATACTAAAATAACACTAATTTTATCCTTATTATTCCTTTATGTATAGGAAAGGAACGTATTCCAACTTAGCAAGTTTTGGACTGAAATTAACCTGAGAATGGGGGAGGGAGGGAAAAGCGAGCAAAGCAGAGCAACATGTGAGCAAACAGACAAGATGTGAAGATACTGCCACGCCATCATAAGTACGCAGATATGTAAAGAAGATAACACGCTCCACTGTAGCAGACAGACTTTTATGCTTTAACTTCTTCAAAAGAAGTATGTACAAAAGGTTACAGACATTCATAGCCAATATGTATACTTGTGTCAGTAATCCTTCAACTTTATTTGAAGCAGAAGACCAATATTTCTTTTTATGTGCCTGCATTTAATGCCCTATCCAAGCCTAAAGTTGTTTCTTTAATCTACCTCCATCTCCTAGCTGCATTCTCCTGACAGCAAGGGGCAGTATGAATACGAAAACTTCAGCAGAGACTGAATGCCTGTGGTCTTGCTGAAAGGGAGCAACAGGACTTGACTGCTTCGTTGAAACTGCAATTGTCTTACATCTCCAAGTACAAATCCTAGCATATGACACAGTTTAGCAAATTGTTTTCTTCCCTTTAAACTTAAATAAAAAAAAAATATTGGCAGCACTGGCTGGTAAGAATGTACCTTTATCTGAAGGAGCTATTGGTGCATCTACAGCAGCAAATACTGCTAGCTTAGCTTCATCAATATCTTGTTGTGTGAACTCTCCAGATTTGGCCCATTCGACTGCTTTCTCAAATGTTTTCAAGGTGGCTAATGAATTTGGGTCTCTTAGAAGAAAAAAAAAAGTAAAATTAATTACTGTAGTCTTACAAGATCATGTACTGGAATTGCTTTGTTCACTCTTCATTCATAGTTTACTATGCATCAGAAAACATACACATATGGGGATTAAACCAAATGATAAAATTTCTTTTTTGTTTACAAAAAAGAGGTTTTGGATTTTGTTTTTCTTTTTTAAGAAGACAGAAGCGTTACAAACCAGGGATATTTGAATTTTAGATACACAAATGCAGCAAGGTCATTTGCCTAAAAGTAGTTCCAAGGCAGTGT